CTCTCTCTCTCTCTCTCTCTCTCTCTCTCTCCGTCTCTCTCTGCTCCTCACCCACTTGTACCTTGTCTCTCTTAAAATAAATAAACTTTAGTAAAAAAAAATTTTTTTTGAAAGTCTTTTTAGGAACAGAGATTCAGTCTCTGGCCCATGGTTAGGAGCATGGGTCAGAAAGATAAGGTGGGAACCCCAACTCTGTCACTTAGTAGGTAGGAGACCTCGGGCAAGCCTCCAACTCTCCAAGCCTCAGTGTCCTTCCTCATCTGTAAAATTGGTTGTTTTCAGAACTGGGCTGTTATGAGGATTTGGATGGGATGAGATGATGCATACAAAAAGTACTTATTACAGTGAAAGACACATAAGAGTCCAATAAATGTCATCCTTACGAGGTCAAATTAATTTTGTGGTCGATTCAGAGAAGAATGTTTGATCAAAGAGTAGTCCTTTCTTGGTTAAAGTGACCATTTATTCAAACATAGGTACTAAGTACCTACAATATACAAGGCTCCAACAGGGGAGAGAAAGGCACTGATGTTGTCCCTGCTGCAAAGGAGGAAGGGATAGATCATGTGCACCAAGAACCACAACACAAGAGAGAGCATACTCAGCATCATAAGAGAGGTACAGATAAGTGTGTGTGCAGGTGAAGAGGGAAAGAGAACAGTGGCTGAAGGACAAGGTTTCCCGGGGAAGAAGCTATGTAAGTTACTTTAAAAGAAGGGTAGGATTTGAGCATGTGATGCTGGGGGACATGACCGAGTAAACCCAGAGACCCAAAGGCAATGACATAGGACTGGGGTGGGAGAGAAACTCTGAGAAAATCTGCAAAAGCAGATTGCCCGATACCCAGAATTTGTGGAGGAAAGCCTGAGAGATGAGCCTGGCGGGTAGATGTGCAAGGCATGAGGAGGGATGCCGTAAATGGTCTCAAGTGTCAGATGATGAAATCAGTAGTTGTTCACTAAGCAATGGGGAGCTATGTAGAGTGAGTGAACAGAGGAGTAATGTGATCTTATACCTAGTCACCCTTAATCTGTTAGCGGTGTTTGGCAGGGATTAGAGAGGGAAGACTGGAGGAGGACAGACCACATGGAAATATTTCTGAGACAACAGTCCTAAATGAGCAAGGGGCAGAGAAGTGAAGGAGGTCTAGAATTAGGGTAGGGCCTGTTCAGACCAGTGAGAGACACATCTGAGATGGAATTCAGGAAAACTGATAACGGACTGGTAGGAGGTGTGTGTGTGTGTGTGTGTGTGTGTGTGTGTGTGTGTGTGTCTTCCGGGTTGAGGGGAGGGGGAGTAGATTGGCGTGGTTCATTCTAAAGAGTGAAAGAATTCCCGGGTGGAAATATTTCCACTAGGAACGCCATGATACTTCCGGTGCAGAAACGGTAATGGGAAGTCTTGGGAGGAAAGATAAATTCGAGAAGGGAGACAGAGGGATGAGGTTTTTGGAGCTAGGTTAATCCCTGAAAGAAACAGCCAGTGCACCTATCCTTAAGATGTGTTCTGGACCTTTCCCTCCCCAGAGAGGCAGATTGCAAATTAAATGCAATATACATGGGTTTGTCACGGTCTATACAATCATTCTAAAGTCCCGGCCGGCCCTCAGTTCCCTAAGAGAGTTACCAGTTGCTGTTCTACGTGCGAGATACCACCTAAAATTGGCAACAGAAATTAAGGTCCTGCGCAGCAAAGTATTTATACAACTGCTGGGGCCACTCCGCGGGGTGTGGAGGCGGAGAGGGAGGAGGAGTGAAGGTTGTTTACAAACTTTACGTACATACTCAGCACCATTCCTAAAGTTCTGGAATTGGTGTTTACAACCTTCGGATCTAGGGGTGTTCTGATGACCTGGGTTCCAGTGCCTGGTTTATGCCCACCCCAGCCATAACCTTCGGCAGAATGGAAGGATTCCTGCGCTTTGGCCCTAGGTCTTGGGGCGGCGATGACTCACGGCAGCACCCCCTTACCCCCCCGCGCGTCAAACTGCCGTCTCCGCCCACCCCCAAACAATCTCAACGACGAGCCGAGCCGCAGCTCCTGGCGCTTTGCTGGGGGCTGGAGGGGCTCATCGCTGTGCTCGTATCCCAGCAGGCTAAAACCTTCCCAGTCCTACTCTTCAAGCTTGCCTCGTTCCCCCACCGGACCCTTCCGTTGAGCAGTGGAGACAGATGCGACATCCCAACCGGGGACGCAGGATCCACCAACGACAGCGCTCGGCAGGGGCAGCCAAGTGGCCCGGTAAGTTATCCGTGCTCCCCTTAGAAAAGGTGATGGGGAATGTGGGTCCTCAGGGGAAGAGTAAACGCATCATGGGGGGGAGCAGTGCGCACAACGCCGTGCGCTGGGAGAGCCTGACCCGGGAAAGTTTCTGCGTCACACGCGCGTGTTAGGAACGCACATCGTTTGGGAAAGTCAAGGATCACTTTCGCTGGGGTCAGAACTTTAGAGCATGTCTTCAAATGTGCTGGGGAAGAAAGCGAATGCCTTATCGGACCAACTGGAGAGCAAGTGGGGAGGGGAGGGGAGGTCAAAAGGGGGTCGAGGCACCCTTTCGGAAACCCTGCTAAGTGCGTATTTTGCAGCGCAGGGAGGTGGCCGCCTCGCGCCTTCTCGCTCTCCTTCTGTAGGGGAAACGTGCGGTGTAGGCTCCGTCTCTCGACTCTCTGGAACCCGTATGGGTGGCAGAAAACCCAAAAGAACCTAACTCTCGTCCGGGCAGCCTCTGCGGGCTCTCTCCCACTATTTCTGTTTCTTAGGGGCTACCCCGCCAGCAGGGTGCAGAGTCGGACTGCGCCACACCCCCACTCCGAGTTTTACCCTAATTCAAAGCGTCCGGGGCAGGCTCCGCCCTCTTCCCCGCCTCTGGAGTCCTTGGCCCACCCTTCCGTTCCTGGGACGGACCTGTTCCCTGTCAATCCTGTTCAGCCTCAGGGTTCCTGGCGCGTGAAAAGAGGCCCAGAGAGATCGCAGGGACTCTAGATTACGCACCGCCCTCCACGACACACAGAAGGAACTCCCCATACCCGAGGCTGGGGATCCTCAGCCCACACCCCTGACTCGAGACGCGCCAATAAGGAGTCGGGTCCTGCCTGCGCTCAGCTGCTCCGCTCCTGGGCGGCTGTGTTTGCTACAAGGAAGGGCAGGCAACTCTGGAGTTTGGAAACCGACTTCCAAGCCGCCTGCTAGCGCTGGGCAAGGAGCAGCGGAGCTCGGTTCGGACTCTAGAAAGCTCCAAAACACACGGAACCCCTGGGAGCGGATGCGTGCGCTCCTCTCCAGTGTAAGCGCACGCACTGGGCTAGTCATCCAAACCGCTGGATGCAAACTAGCTTCCAGCGGGCATTTAGAGCCAGACTGGAAACTCGGCGCAGTGAGGGTCTTAGAAGAGAGAGCAATGAAGTCTTCCAGAAACTTGTGAAGAGGCGGGGGGCGGGGGGGGGGGGGGGGAGGAGCGGGCACCAACTCACCATTCCTGAGCAGAGGCTGATGACCGCCGTGTGCTGGGACTTGGTAGACTTGGTATTGACATGGCCTTTGTAGAAGCAGTGCTTGAGTTCCGCTTCCTCCTCAGAATAAAACTTTGTCTGGTTCTCCCCGGGCGTCCCGAGAAGGGTGACAGTGAACAGTGGAGCGATAAATCCGGAATGGGCGGAGAGATTAAATAGAAATTGCTGGCCGAAGGCAGAGAGGCGGTAATGCTCCTGGTCGGAGGTAGAGGAGGAGGAGGAAGACGAGGCAGAGGCCGGCCAGGGGTCAGAGGCAGCGTTAATGCTCCGGCGCCTCCTTTTGAAGTGCACGTTCGTAGAAACGGGTTCTCCGAGAGCGTTCACTCGGATGGGAGACGCGATTTCGTATTCGCTCAGGGTCTCTAATAATTTCACTGCAGGGAGAAGCAGAGACACATGAAGCAATAATTCAATTTTCCGCAAACCAATTTCCCGCAAGTTTTAGTTTAAACATGAAGGGGGCTTTGTCCCGGGTTATTTTCCAGCAGTTATTTTTTTTGCCCATTTGAGCCCACGCCTTCACCCTCAGCCAGTGCACAAATATTTGCTGAGCACCTACTATGTGCCAGGAATAGCCAGGAACTGTGCTCGACGCTGAGGCTACACCATTTGGAATCAGACAGTGAACAAGTCAAAATACCTGAGATACATTTCGTATTCTGACAAATAATCTGAATAAAATAAAACAAGTCAGTATCTGCTACCCCCAGTTACTAAGTAACTATAGTTTGGGCCCTGGAGGTGGGGAAGGGGAAAGATCAAACTACCAGCAAAGCGGGGTGGGGGAGACCAAGTCTACTCTACAGTGGCTCTCTCTAGAAATTGGCTGGGAATGACCTAAAGAAGGGAGAGGCGGCAAAGCCGGAGATAATTCTTTCTAGGAAAAAGAGAGAGGCCCTCCGCTGCGGGGTGCCCGCTATCGGGCGCAGACGCTGGGGAGGTGGCGACTGGGGCGGAGGGGTCGCGATGGCCGGAGTCTCATTACCTTGCCTCGGGTGCAGCCTGTCCTTGCGCACGGCCGCCGCGGCGTCTGGGCTCCCCATCTCGGCCAGGTCCCGCACCAGGAACGTTAGCAGTGTGGCCCAGGATACAAACTGCATGGTGCTTCCCACCCCTCCCCTGTTGCTCCCACCCCCCTCCCTCCTGCCCTCCCTGGCTGCGGCGGCGACGCGAGGCAGCGGCCGCGGTGAGCCCGCGGAGCCTGGCGCCCGCCGCCAACTTTTGACTTTAGGAGTCGCTGAGGTCTCGCCGCGAGGGTCCCGTCTGC